ATGGCGAGCCCGCGCCGCTGCCGGCAGCGCCCCGGCTTTCCCTGCCGAGAAACGCCTCCCGGCTGTCCCCCGGCAAGCGAGCGCGCTGTGATCTTCTGGATCTCCCGGGAGACAGGCAGATTCTCTGCTTGTCATATTCTGGCCATTCTGGACAATTCGGGAGATAAAGCGGCCTCCAGTCTATGCTCTGCCAGGCAGAAACTGTCCAGCCCGCTGCTCTGAACAGCGGCACTTGGAACACACGGGCTTTCAGAGGGAAAGGATCACGGGTACTACACGAGAGAAGCCAGAAAGGTTTTAGCAGATCACGGGCTACTGAGTTCCCAGCAGCTGCTCTTCCAGGATGACAAGAGGCCTTGCTGCAGGGGGTACGGGGTACCCGAGATTCCCCTGCAGCCCGTGTTGCAAGACCACGGTGAGGCAGCTGTGTTCCTGCAGGTCCATGATGGAGCAGAGATCCACCTGCACCCCAGCAACGACCCCATGCTGGAGCAAGCTCTGGCAGAACCTTTGTGCCCATGGAGAGAGGAGAACATACTGGAGCAGATATGCTGGCGGGAATTGTGACCCCGCTGGAGCAGCTGGTTCCTGGAGTGCACCTTAGGTGTGGGACCTATGCTGGAGCAGTTCATGAAGAACCGCAGTCAATGGGAAGCACTCACACTGGAGAAGTTAGTGAAGGAGTTTCCTATGGGAGGGACCCCATGCTGGAGCAGGGAAAGAGTGTGAGGAGTCCTCCCCTGAGGAGGAAGGAACAACAGAGACCTGGGATGACATTTCCCACAACCTCCATTCCCCACCACCCTGTGCAGCTTAACAGAGAGGAGGTAGAAAGTACAGTGAGTGAAGATGAACCCAGGAAGAAGGCAGGAGTGGGGGGGAAGGTGTTTTATGATTTAACTTCTCATTACTTTCCTCTTATCTGTCAATACATTAAATTGATTTCTCTGAGTCAAGTCTCATTTGCCTGTGACAGTAACTGATGAATGGTCTCTCCCTCTCCTTAACTCACAAGCCTTTCAATGTGTTTTCTCTCCCCTATCCAGCTGAGGATGGGAGTAACAAAGTGGCTTTGGTGGGCACCTGGTGTCCAGCAAGGGTCACCCCACCACAGCAACAGAAATACAAAGGCTGAACACATGTATAGCTTTATTTATTTATTATGAATTTTTCAAAGCATTGACACTTTAGTCGATGTTCTCCAGACCCTGAAAAAGAAAAAATAACAGCTATATTTGTGTCATTCTTGCCACTAATGTGCAACAGGGCATATATGAAAATGCAGATTTTCAAACTATATTTTAATTACCCAGGTCTTAAGTAGAATAAAATTAAAATTCACATCCCCAGAGGCAGACCAGCTGCAGGCACCGAGTGAGATCTGGCAACCCCAAAAGCGACCAGTGCCCACCTAAGCAGCTGTCGCAGAGCTCGGGGATGCGGGAGCAGCGCCTGGGTCCCGCTTTCCCCCGGCGGTACCTGCCCAGCGCTCCCAAAACCTGCCTTGGACACATAGTGCTTGTTGACACCCGATAGCCGCCGGTCCCTTTCCATCAGGGTCCACTCGTAGGGATAGCGGGCGATCCTCTTCTCCTGCAGGCACAGAACTGCCTGTTAAGGTCGCGGGCAGGGGCTCCAGAGGGAAGGCGGAGCGCGGGGTAAGGGCAGCCCCGGGGAAGGGATCCCAGAGGGATGCAGGGGACTGGGGGAAAAGGGCGGCTCCGGGGAGGAAGCGGAGCCTCAGGGTCCCGGATCCCGGGACCTGCCGCCCCGCCCCGCGCTGACCTTGCCGCCGTGGCACAAGCGGTGCATGAAGACGGTGGCGATGCCGGGGATGCTGAGGCAGACGCCCATGATGGCCATGCCGGGCAGGATCTCGTACCACATCCCGCCGGTGCCGGTGCTGCTATCGGTACCGCCGCCCGTGCGCTGAGTGCCGGGGCACTCCCAGCCTGCCCCGCGCCCTTCCCGACCTGCCCCGCGCCCCGTCACAGCCGAGCGGGCCCGAGCGGGCAGCGGGAGCGACA